CCCCCCCCCCCCCACACACACACTCCAGAGCCAAACAATTCAGTCTGTGTTACATTCTGTCTAGACCTCCTGGGGAGCCTCACTTGTAGGGCAGGGCTACCAGGGGTGGGGAGAGTGGGGCTAGTAGATCTCCTGTGAGGAGGAGGTGCTGATCAGGTTCATGGGAAAGGGGGGGGAATAGCCCCTGACCCAAAGCCACACAACTCAGTCATTGACACTGTCTGAATCTGCCTGGACCTCTACACCTTGGCCTACCCAGCTGACTCCTCAGCAGGGTGAGAGCTCTGCAGGGTGGGACGACAGAGAGTCCAGAGGGTGGGGCTATTGCATTCTTCCAGGCTGGTGTCATAAGGAGGGGAGTGCTCTAGCCAAGAAAGATGGCCTCTGTGATATGGGAGAAGGACTCAACACAGGGATCCTGGCAGCTCTCCTTTCAGCCCTCTATTTAGGGCCACAAACCCTAGTCTCTCCTCACATGAGTCTAGTTTGCTCTGCCCTCCCTCCGCTGAAGCCCAGGATGAGGGGCTGCAAATGATTTTGTGAATTGGACCTTTAGGAGGGTGCCTGTATGTCAGACTCCTGTCTCTCCTCAGTGCACAGTGGACAGAATCTCTGCTGATTTTCACAACCAGATGTTGTATGGGTGCCTCTTCTTGGCTCTGGTGCTCTGGGCCTGGGAGCTGGCATGGGGTTGAGACCCCAACCTTTGCAGCTGAGAATCTCAGCTACCTCCTGTGGGAGTGGGGCCAGCCTTTTTGTGTCTCCACCCTTCCTACCAGTCTTGATGTGGCTGCTTTTTCTATAAATCCTTGGTTATAAGACTTCTGTTCAGCTAGTCTTCAGTTTGTTATTCAGGTTGATTGCTCCATTTTTTAGCTGTAATTCCAGTTTAGTCCTGGGAGGAGGTGAGTGTAGCATCTACCTACTCTGCCACCGTCTTGGGTCCGTGGTTCTTTTACACATATAGTGTGCAATGTCAGTTGTAAACAGTTTATTCAAATCTCTTCCCTTAGCACTATGTTAGCTGTAACAGTTCTGGCTATGGTATATAAACCTAGCAATTCTACTTTCTTCCAGCTTCCTGTTGACTGTAATAATCACTTACAGTGTTCCCAGCATATGAAACATAGTGATCTTCTGCAGTTTCTCATCAGCATTGCCAGCTTTTCCTTGTGTGTTTTTTTCCAATTTCCCACAGGACTTTCCCTTTCAACCCTGCTATGATGCATGTGAATTTCCTTTCCTGTCTCCCACCTTGACATTCTTTGTGAATTTTGCCCTCTCTCCTTTTACACATGGGTTTTATTAGCTGCTTTCTCTACCTTTCTCTTCCTATCCCTTATCCTTCTACCCTATCCTTTTGTCCCTGGCAACTCATTGGTGGTCTCTTGTCTTCCTTTCTCCTTTTTTCTTCTTTCTAATGTATTATGTGATAGTATCTAATAATTATTTGCTATTTCTCATTATTTGTCTTTAATATTTCTGTATCTTATGCCCAGGACTAGCTTGACTATTTCTTAAGGGCAAAGAAGGCATGTTCACTTATTGTGCACTTACCTAGCCTGGAATCTTGTATACACATATGCGCATACAGTGTTTACTGAGGTAATTAATGGAGAGAAGAAACTTCCCCAGAGCTCTGGGAATGAGGCATAAAAAGAGTTCTCAGACTTCTCTTAGTTGGGCCCGCTGAGCAAACATAAATGAGAAAAGAGGCTTGTAAAAAATATCCTCACTGTTTCAGTCTTACACCCCAGAGTTCCCTGAAGAACAGATTTTCTTTTTTATCTGTTAAAGACCTCTGGCTATTTATTTTATCCATGGGCTTGAGGTGCTCCTTAAGAGTCGCCTTGGGATTATTATATATGTATCCTCAAGTAGTTTTTCTTTTTCATATTCAAAAGGTATGAGTTGTTACATATATTTTCCAAGGCTAATAGATTAATCAGGCTGCGTGAAACTATGTGAGAAAATGCTTAGGTCCCCTCCACACCCACGCCGCTGTGAACACCCTAACTTAGTGGCTGGGTTTAGTTACCTGCTTTTGCACAGGTCTCCCAATAGCTTGGAACTTTTTAGAGACAGGAACTGGGTCCTATATTGTGTGTCTTCCCCAAAGTACCAAGCCATATGTATGTCCTCAGGAAACATTAAGTAAATAAACAAATGAGCCTATTATTACATTTTGTGTTTTATTGTATTTATGTAAAGTTTTTCTTTGCTTTACTCATTTTCAACACACTTGATATGAATTCTATGGCTATAATACCACAACCCAAAGTTGTGAATCTGAGAACATTTATCTTAATAGTGCAACAGAGAATCCAAGCTTTTCTCTAAGGTGTTAACTTGACACTTCTACATGTGATAAATAGATGTAGTTTTCCTGAGAATGCCTTTTTGCTTTTTCTGCTGGAATTGATCTTTTCTCATCTTTCTTGCATTTCCTCTCAAATAAGCTTGTGTTTCAGTAAGAGCTTTCTGGAGAATGTTTTTAGCATAACCTTAAGTGTTTGCATGCTTCACCTTAAGGCTATAATTAAGTTTGAGTTAGCCCTTCCAAGCTGATATTCCACCAATACATGACATTGCTTTTGCTTAGTGGTTATCTGGCTCTTTCTGGAATGATGTCTTTTCAGAATTTTCCTAATTATTATTACAGGGAAGTAATTTTTTATCATTATCCTGTAGTAATAATTTTGTTAATAAGTGGCAGTGCCTACTTTAACTGATAATGACTAATGGGTTCTCCAGGGGCTACGTGGTGTGAACTGGCACACTCTAGTGTCCTTCACCTGTCTCTGACCGCGTGTTCCCATTGAACTTCGATGTTCTCGGATGTTTTTACTTCTGCTTAGACTACATTTTATAAATCTTCTAAAGAAGCTTTGCATTTTTCTAAGTTTCCTGTATACAGTCCATAGGTATAAGTTGTGGGCAGTGTTAGTTATAACAAAAAACTTTAAAGACTATTGCCCAAGAGTGGAGAGTGGAGGCAGGCAGCCCTTGTAGTAATGCCCAAATTGCTTGGCTTTACTTTTTTTTTTAAATGAAACTTCATTAATCTAATCATGATTGTACCTCCAAAGGAGAGTGAACAGACTTTGACAAAGACATTTTTCTATAGATACCTTATAGGTTTCTAGGAACCTAAACAATGGGTGCAGCATTCTGGGGCATTTTGATTTTCCCTGCTGACAGAATCCTGGTGATAAAGTATTCAAAGTTTAGCAAAACAGGAGATGTAGCTGTTTCCTTCATATTATCTGGCTTTGTTTAAAGGACTTTCTTCTTTTCTTTAGTGAGATTAGTCGCCTGGACCTGGGTCTAAGTGTGGAGGTATGGAACAAAGGACTGATCTGGGACACGATGGTGGGTACTTTGTGGATTGCACTGAAGACTATTCGACAGTCGGATCAGGTCAGTCCTTGCACTGCTCAGTTATAGGTATGGTTCTAACCCTTGCTTCTCCCTACTCTAGCTCCATTCAACTAATATTCACCCATACATCTCAGATTGCTTTGCCCCCTTGCTAATTAGAGAGCATTCAACCAGCTTATTCTTCACCTTACCTAGAGGTTCATGAGATTTTATTTAGGTCTGGTCTTCCCTCCTCTGCCCTATGAGTGAACTCAGAGGTACTAGAACACCTCTTTAAACTTATCAGGTAGGCAGCTTTTCTGAGTTCTGTGTGTGTGTATGTGAGAGAGAGGGAGAGGGAGAGAGGGAGATATATCAGGAGGGGGAAGGAGGGAAGAGAGAGTTGAGTGTGTGACTGATTTAGGGTACCTGTGGTTTCTACCTTCCCCCTAAGATACTTTCCTGGGAGGAATCCTATTAAAATTCCTCAGCCACCTGACTGGGTTCTGTTCTCTGCTCCAGGTCCTGTTCTGCTTTTTTTTCTTTGCCTCACCAATGCCGAGGAAACTGGTTTCAGTCTTCCTTCTTCTACATGTAATCCTAAGAGTTTAAGGAACTACCAGGCGTAGCAATTGGTATTCACATTGTCTCTATACATTATTTTCAAGACTGAACTCCCATTCTACTTTCTTAGATTAGAACTTAGCGTGATTTCCCCATAGACACTCACTTTGAACCTGGACGGTATCTATAGCATTCCCTTTAGCTTTTACATGAACTATGAGTTTTCTCTGGGAGGGGGATGGTGAATTTCTAAATTTCTTTTAGTTTTGGTTAAGTGTGTACTCCCCCAGGCAGTTCATTTTCATTGTAGCCCCAGTTCAAGTCTATTTAACTAGCAATGTTAGTAGCTCTTTACTGATTAGAAATAGCAACACATGAAGTGACACAGTCATTAAGAATTGTGCAGATAAAATATTGATGCATGGAGATGCTTGGTTTTTCAGTTTGGTACTCCAGAAATTCTATCCTCAGTGGGCTTGCAGAGAGCTGAGCACAGTGAAAGCTGCTGTCCCACCAAAGAGGGATAACAGAAACCACATGCAGGAGAGGCAGGTGGTGACTAGTGTGTTTGCCTCATCAGGATGTGAGTGGCCCTCCAAAGCTCTCCAACAAGGAAATGCAGAGAAAAACACCTGGCTCTTAAACCAAGAAGGGAGTCATGAAAAAGTGAAGTTTAATCTTAGATTTCTGTTTTCTAGGAAGGGCCCGGGGAGTGGTCTACATTGGAGGCAGAGACATTAATGAAAGATGATGAAATCTGTGGAACTAAAAACCCAACACCCCATAAAATTTTGCTTGATACAAGATTTGAGTTGCCTTTTGGTGAGTCTATTTGATTAGATTTTGAAAGCCATTTAATACTTTTTACCATATTGTTTAAAATTGTTTGCTATTTGTTTCATTATTGTCTTTTGTCTTATCAGCCATCTCCTTTGAGGGCATTCTTGTCTTCTTCCTCTCTATTCCCTGTAATGCCTGGCCCAGGGATGGTGCACAGTAGATGCTAGAATGGTGTTAAGTAGAGAACCTACACTAAAAACATTCTCTTTATGTCATTTAGTTTTCTGTAACTGTTTAGTACAACTTATGAAATGCCTACTTGTTAGGGAACATGAATAATTTATTCTTTTGATAATATTTTGACATTCATTGTCTTGAAGCGAATGTATATCTTTGATCAGTTAATTTCAACAATGAAGTAGCACTAACAAATGGAATAGTAATTTAAAAGTTTCTTAAAACCTCAACTACTGGAGATGTTTTTCACATGTTGATATGTTTCTTTTTTACCATATATACAGTTTTCTTATAAAATGATACTGTTTAAAAAGTAATTTTATTGATTTTTTAGAGAGAGAGAAAGAGAGAGAGAGACAGAGACATTGATGTGAGAGCAGAACATTGATTGTCTGCCTTCCACACTCACCCTACTGGGAATTGAGCCCACAACCCTGGCATGTGCCCTAACCGGGAATCGAACCAGCGACCTTTCAGTGCACAGGGCAATGCCCAACCAACTGAGCCACACCAGTCAGAGATACTTTTTTTATTTTAGAGAGAGAGGAAAGGGGGGGGAGGGAGAGAAAGAAACATCTATGTGAGAAAGAAACATTGGTCAGTTGCCTCTTGTATGCACACTGACTGGAGATTGAACTTGCAACCTGGGTATGTGCCCTAACCAGGAGTCGAACCTGTGACCTTTCTGTGTACAGGATGATGCTCCAACCAAGTGAGGGAAGGAGGTGAAGTTTTGGACAGGAAGATGTATCTGTTTAAATGTCTTCAAAGTTGGTCTCATCCATATATTGCCTCATTTCTCTTTCGTGCTGTATACATGGATATATCTGATGTTTTTAAGATGAGTTTTGTTTTTGGGGAAGTTGTAATAGTTAATCTTAAATATATAGAAATGAGGATATACTATTCTTTTTCTTTTTCTTTTATTGTGGTAAAATACACATAACATAAAATTAACCATCTCAACCATTTTTAAGTATACAGTTCAGTGATGTTAATACATTCATAATGTTGTGAACCATCATCATCATTCATATCCATAGCTCTGTTTTCATCTTGTAAAACTGAAAACTCTATACTCATTGAAAAATAACTTCCAGTCTCCTCTCCCCTCCGCCTCTGGCAACCACCATTCTTTCTATCTATGATTTTTGATTAAGTATCTCATATAAATGGAATCATATAGTATTTGTCTTTTTATAAATGGTTTATTTCTCTTAGCATAATGTCCTCAAGGTTCATCCATGTTGTAGCATATGTCAGTGTTTCTTTCCTTTTAAGGCTGAATAATATTCCATTGTATGTATATACTATATTTTGCTTATCCACTCATTCATTGGTGGACACTTGGATTGCATCCACATTTTAGCTACTGTGAATAATGCTGCTGTGAACATGGGTGTGTAGATATCTCTGAGATTCTGCTTTCAGTTCTTTTGGTTATATTATTGCCTAGAAGTGGAATTTCTGCATTATATGGTAATTCTACTTTCAATTTTTAAAATATTACAATACTGTATTTTTGGCGTGTGTGTGTGTGTTTTTAATCCTCACCTGAGGATATTTTTTCATTGTTTTTTAGAGAGAGTAGAAGGGAGAGAGAGAGAGGGGCGGAGAGAAACATCGATGTGAGAGAAACACATCAATTGGTTGCCTCCTGCACGAGCCTCGACCAGGGCCAGGGATCGAGCCTGCAACCAGGTGCGTGCCCTTGGCCAGAATTGAACGTGGGATCCTTCAGTCCGCAGGCTGATGCTCTAACCAGTGAGCAAAACTGGCTAGGGCTTGAGTTAATTTTTTTATCTGGTGTTAGGTAAGGGTCCAATTTCATTCTTTTGCATATGGATATTCAGTTTTTCCATAATCATTTGTTGAAAAGACTCTTTCCCCCATTGAACGTACCCTTGTCAAAAAATCATTTGACCATATATATATATATATATATATGAGGGTTTATTTCTCTTGGCTCTTTATTCTATTAATCTATATATCTGCCTTTATGTCAGTACCACACCGTTTTGTTTTGTTTTCACTTAAAAATATTTTTTTAAAGCTATAATTGACATTTAACACCATGTAAATTTAAGGTGTATAATGTGCTGATTTGATACATATTTATATATTGCAAAATGATTACCACCATAGCATTAGCTGATACCTCTATCATGTCACATAATTATAGTACCACACTGTTTTTGATTACCATAGCTTTGTAGTAAGTTTTGGAATTAGGAAATGTGAATCCTTCAACTTTGTTCTTACTTTTCAAGATTGTTTTGGCTATTTGGGATCTGTTGAAATTCCATATTAATTTCAGGATGGGGTTTCTATTTCTGAAAAAAACATTGGGATTTTTATAGTGATCACATTGGATCTGTAGATCACTTTGGGTAGTATTGACATCTTAACAACATTAAGTCTTCTGATCCAGTGGGAATAATAGAACATTATTTTGTTTTTATAAAGATTCAAGATAATGTTCATAGCAAGAATGAAGCCACCAGTAAAATTAGTCCATTGCTATTACCTTTCTGATTTTGGTCATTTCATTGAACAAAGTATTATTGACCCATGACTTAATTATTAACCTAGTAGTGTGGTTTCTTTTTCATGGTAGATATCCCAGAGGAGGAAGCCAGATATTGGACCTACAAATTGGAGCAAATCAATGCCTTGGGTGCTGACAATGAGGTAGGAACTGCCTTATTTGCAATATGGAGAGATAGAGAAAATCTTTTTATAGGACACTTTAAAATTTTTCAACAGAGGGACCCATGAGCATGTTGAAGAATGAAAGAATTTGAACTATGTTAAAGATAAAAGGCAGCTGGAAGAGTGCCTGACATTTCATTAGAACTACTTTTCTCTTCCTCTTCTTGTCATTGTCCCCCAGAAGTGGCTGAAGTGATAGTAATCTAGCTCTAGATTGTTGAGGAAGGAGCTTATGCTAGAGAAACTGTCCACTTGTTACACAGATGAACAAAAGGCATTTCTTCTGCTCGTTCCCAGATTTTTGGATATGTATCCTTATTTGTGTGCTCTTTTAAGGGATGTTAAGACCATTGCATTGCTTGGTCTTGCTGTCCTAACTTCTCTCCAGAAATGGGTCTGTTGCACAAAAGAGAACACAACTCAACCTGGGTCTTCAGGAATAGGGAATGTTCTTGATATTGGTGGTGGAGGGAAAAGATAAGTTATTTTACTTTTTGGACATGCTGGGGGCCAGTGATTTTCAACTAGGGTGCTGCAATAATTTTAAAATATGCAGTAGCTTACTATTTAGTCAGGGGCATTGTTGAATAAAAAGTGACAACAGCCAACACAACAATAGGTGTCTGGAGTGAATGAATAAAAATTATACCTTTTTTTTTTGTCATATCTGCAAAAAATATACTTTTTGGTGTGCCACAGAATCTTAGTAATTAGTTTATGTGTGCCATGAGATGAAAAAGACTGAAAATTGCTGGTGGGGGTTATTAGAAAATTGGTCTGAATATAAGGTAGAATTTGGAGTGCCAGGGGATATTGTGGTGGAAATGTCTGGTAAATAACTTCATGAGAGAATCTGAAGCTCAGGGTTGGATAGGGTGGGAAGTTATGTAGTCATAGAGTTTAGATTCATCAACATAATGGTAGCAATTGAAGTCAGGAATGGAAGAGCTCACTCAGGTAGAGTATGTAGGAAGAGTATTAAAGAAGAACAAAGACAACACCTTGGGAAACATCAAAGATAGAATCTTTAGAAACAAAAGATACTGAGGAAGAGCTGCCTGAAAGAGAAAGAAAGAGAACCAGAAAAAATTTACAGAACAACAATAAAAAAGTTTTAAGGCAGATATTCTTTTTTAAATTTAATTTTTAAATTTATTAATTGATTTGAGAGAGAGGAAGTCAGAGAGAGAGAGAGAGAGAGAAAGAGAGAAGCATCGACCTGTTGTTCCACTTATTTATGCATTCATTGATTGATTCTTATATGTGCCCTGACCAGGGATTGAACCCACAAACTTGGTGTATTGGGACAATGCTCTAACCAACTGAGCTTCCCGGCCAAGGCAAGGCAGAAATTCTTGATAGTGTTAAATGTTACCAAGAACAAAGAAGATCAGTAATGAAATGGAACCATTGGATTTGCCAGTTAATGATCAGTATCCATATATTAGTATAGGAAGCCAAAACGTAATGGTCTGAGAGTGCATTAGTTTCCTTTGGCTGCCCTAACAAAGTACTGTGAACTGGTTATCTTATAGCAACAGAAATTTATCCTCTCATAGCTCTGGAAGCTAGAATTTTGAAATCAAGGTGTTGTCAGGGTCAGTTCCTTCTGAAGGCTCTGAGGAAGAAATTGCCCTGTGCTTCTCTTCTACCTTCAGGTGGTCCCCACCAATTCTTGCTGTTTCTTGGCTTGTAGACACATCATTCCACTCGCTATCACCTGTCTCCCTGTGTGTCTCTGTCTGTCCTCACAATATGTTACTCGCTCTTCCTCTGTCTGTGTCCAAGTTTCCATTCATCTTGTAAGGACACCAGTCATTGGATTAATTTGATTACATCTGCAGGGAGATCACATTCACAGGTACTGGGGATTAGGACTTCAACATACCTTTTTGAGGGACAAAATTCAACCCACAAGAAGTTATATCAAAGATGAAGAAATGTAGTTGGGGGCAAGCACAAACTACTCTTTTCAGGATTTTCCCTTACCTCACCTAAATCCTTAGTAGGCTTTTTGTAATTAAGTTGTATAATTCTCCTCATGGTCAAGCCAGCACCCCAACTTTTCTTCTTTGTTGAAAGCTTCAGTCTGTCTTCTCCCCTAGATAAGTGTCAAAATCCACTCTAGCCTTTCATCCACTTTACCCTTTGGTTTTTTGTTTTCCCAAAGCTTGGCTGTGGAGTACTGTACAGCTTTCTAAACTCTCATTTTCTTTGTTTTCCTAGTAAAGGAACATACTGAACTTGACCTTGTCACTGCAGAATCAGATGAAGGGATTAAAACAATAAAAAAACAAATGTAATTTATACAAATTTTATAAGTTCTAAAAATGAAGGTTCTTGGTCTGTGGTTCTCAACTCCCTCTTAAAATGTTGCTGTTTTTATTCTAGGATGTGGAGTTCACTAAGTTTACTTTCCTTCCTGTATCAACCTGTTGTTTTTTAACAGCTTTGTTGAAATATAGTTTACATATTATACAGTTCACATGTGTATTTAAAGTATATAATTTTGTGGCTTACAGTATGTTCGCAAGCTGTATATCCATCACAGTTAATTTTAGAGCATTTTCATTACCCCATAAAGAAACCCTGTGCCGGTAGCTATTACACTCCAATTCCCTCATCCACCTCAGTCCTAGGCAACCACTAATCTATTTCTGTCTCTATACATTTTCTTATTCTAGATGTTTCATATAAATAGCATTATATGATACGTAGTTCTTTGTGACTGTCTTCCTTCACTTAGCATATTATTTTCAGTTTCTTCTGTGTGGTAGCATGTATCATTACTTTATTCTTTTTTATTACCAAATAATATTCCATTGGTGGTTATACTGCATTTTATTTACTCATTCACTAGTTCATGGACAGTTGGGTTGTTTTCACTTTTTGACTATTATGGATAATACTGCTGTGAACATTCATGTACAGGTTTTTGTTTGGACATATGTTTTCAGTTCTCTTGGATGTATACCTGGGAATGGACTTGCTGGATCAGATGGTAACATGTTTAACTATTTTAGAAACTATCAGACTGTTTTCCAAAGTGGCTGTTCCATTTTATATTCCCACTAACAGTATATAAGAGTTTCAATTTCTCCATATTCTTTCCAACACTTGCTACCTGTACTTTTGATTCTAGCCATCATAGTGGGTGTGAAGTGGTATCTCATTGTGATTGCCACTTTGTTGGAGAACTTTTTTGTTGGAATTTTTGAACATGCAAAATATATAGAATTACTCTTCCCTGTTTTTTTGCTGGAGTATTTTAAAACTAGTCCCAGACATTGTCTTGTCTCACCCATACATGTATAAATAAAATACATCAGTATACATGTTTAACAGGTAATACCTAGATCCAACCTCTTGAAATGCCTTTCTCCACTAACACCGCTATGTAAACCACCATCAACTTTTGTCTGGATAATTGCAATAATAAGTCTGTTTCCCTTATCGTTCCCTACAGTTTATCTTACACAGCAGTCAGAGTGATTTTTTTAATTTGAATTTTAAAAATGTCTTTATTGATTTATTTTTATTTTTTTTTTAGAGAGAGAGGGGAAGAGAGAGGGAGAGAGAGATAAATTGATGAGAGAGAAACATTGATTGGCTGCCTCCTGCACTCCCCCGACTGGGGATCGAGCCCACAACCTGGGCATGTGCCCTGACCAGGAATTGAACCCCAATTGCCTGGATCCTAGGTCGATGCTCAACCACTGAGCCACACCTGGCCGGGCCATATTATGTTTTCTCAATCCTCCAGTGAGATGTGAACCAAACTATTCTGTCTTCCAAACTTTATGAACATGTGTTAATTTGTTTATGCCTTTTTCTTTTTTGTTTTGACTTTCCCAATCTTGCCCATCCTCAAAAGTTGAATTGAATTATGCTCCACTTTATAGATAATTTTTTATGGCTTCAGTACTCTGTATTTGTTTTTTGGGTTGGGTTGGGAAGGCTAGAGTGTAAGTGAGAAGGGGACTTTGGTAGATTTCAGATGTTGCATTACATGCTTAAATAAGTAATTTCACTTATTTCCTTCTTGCGAGGAAAGAAGCACTATTACTTTTTTTTTAACATCAGAAAACTCAGTCTCAGAGAGGTTTTCAGTTCATCACTCAAGTGGGGAGGTCTATACTTTATCCATAAGGAAACTTAGAGGACTGAATTTTCTAAGTCCTCTGAGGCTTCTCTAAAACTCAGCCTTCTCTGTCCTGGCTGGGTGGCTCAGTTGGTTGGAGCACTGTCCTGTACACTAAGGTTGTGGGTTTGATTCCTGGTCAGGGCACATACCTAGGTTGTGGGTTCAATTTCCTGTTGGGGTGTGTATGGGAGGCAACCAATTAGTGTTTGTCTCCTTCTCTCTCTCCCTTCTTTGTTTCTAAAAATCAATAAACATATCCTTGGGTGAGGGTTAAAAAATACGTTAAAAAAAAAAGAAAAAGACTAAGCCTTCTACAGCTGCTCCGCAGATGCCCTTGGTCAGAACAGTCTCTACTATCCTGGTTTAGTCTGTTGCATTGAACCGGTTCTGGATCTGATATTCTGGCCATTAACATCAGGATCACACAGGGAAATCAGCAGCAGGATCATCTGTTTCTTTTCAATAAAAAATATGATTCTTGTCAAGCACTAAACCTTTTTACAGGTACCTGTGATTCCCCTCCCCCCCCTTTACTTGGGCCTCTTATTATATGTGTTTTTTCTTCTTTCTGCTTCTAGTATTCTATTCAAGAAGAAAGCCAGAGGAAGCCATTGCCCAGTGCTGCCGCCCAGTGTTGTAAGTGAGAAACTTGTCTCTGAATCTCTTTTTTGAATCACAGCTTCCTGTGAGTTCTCCAAATGTGGCTTATTTTTAATCGGGGAGGATGGAATCGTGGTGTGTGTAAACGGGAGATATTTCAGAGCGCACCTATTCAGACTCATACCGCTAATGGCTCTCTGCCCGTTAGCTTTAGGAAGAGATCTTTTGATTTTGTGTGGCTGTAGGCAGAGCAGTGGTGCTCATCCTTTCTCCCCATTTGTCAGCTTTTACCCTTGGAGGAATTATTTTACTCTTTCTATACCCATTTACCTGTTATTATTCTTTAGGGCTCTGTTTAAATGTCACTAACTCTGGGAAATCTTTCTGCCACTTTTTCCTGCCCCTAAGTCTAGCTAGGTGTCTCTCCTCTGCTTCCGTAGTACCCTGTGCATACATTCATCACATAACCTATTATGTATTATAATCTATGTATATTTCTTTGACAAGAACACAAAGTTTTTAAAGGCATAGACATTCTTCCTTTTGTATTCCTAGCATCTGGCTCAATACCTGATGCATAGTATAGTATGCCTCAATAAAGTTTAATAAATGGTTGAGTGAGAGAACTTGTCATCTCTCCTGGGATTAATTTATCCAGACCAAACAGATTTCTTCTTCTTCTTTTTTTAAAAAAATATGTCTTTATTGATTTCAGAGAGAGAAAGGGAGAGGGAGAAAGAGAGAGAGAAACATCAATGATGAGAATCATTGATCAACTTCTTCGTGCATGCCCCTTACTGGGGATTGAGCTGGCAACCCGGGCATGTGCCTTGACTGGGAATCGAACCTCTATCTCCTGCATCATAGGTTGATGCTCAACCTCTGAGCCACACCGGCTGGGCAGATGACATTTATTTTGATTGTTAACAGAGACACTGTACTAGAGATGTTGAGCATTGTTAAGGAGAGTTATTTAAGTGGAACTTAAGAATGGGTCCCAACTATGTAAGGGAGGATAAGGAACATTACTGAGTAATTACTATTTGTCTAGCACATGGTAGTTAAATGCAACATACACAGTTTTCAGTATTTATGCAAATCTGAGAGGTAAGTGGTGTTACTCTTTACTTTGTGTAGATGACAAACAGAAGTATAGAAAAGCTAACCAACCTAATATTATACAGCTAGTAAGTGATGGCTTTGAACCTGGGTTTATTTGGTTCTAAAGTTCAAACCATTTCCAATACACCTACATGGAGTATAAGTGTAGGACATTCCAGCTTCAGAAAATGGGGGACATAGAGCTCATTCCTCTCTCTATCTCCCAAGTATGGCAAGCATAGGAACTGTGACAATCCCTGTTTGCCAATAACAAAGGCTTTGTTTTGGGGGACTGGTTAACAGTGAGGTTTGTTATTTATTTCGTGTCATATTATAGAGGTTTTTGAAAACCAGGAGGATAAATACACTTTTTAAAAAAAATGTATCTTTATTATTGAAAGTATTACAAATGTCCCCTTTTTTCCACCGTTGATCCCCTCTACCCTGTACACTTCCCCGCAGGCCTTCACCCTACTATTGTCTGTGTCCATGGGTTATGCATATATGCATGTAAATTCTTATGTTAATGTCTCCCCACCTACCCACCTACCCACCTACCCACCTACCCCTGCCTTCCCTCTGAGATTCATCAGTCTGTTCCATGCTTCTATGTCTCTGGATCTATTTTGTTCATTGGTTTATTTTCATTAGATTCCACATATGAGTGAGATCATGTGATACTTGTCTTTCTCTGACTGGCTTATTTCGCTTAGCATAATATTCTCCAGGTCCCATCATGCTGTCACAAAGGGTAAGGGATCCTTCTTTTTTACAGCTGTGTAGTATTCCATGATGTAAATGTCCAAGAAGATGCTTAATATGACTTCAGTCTTCTTGAACTTGTAGAGACTTGTTTTGTGTCCTAAGATTTGGTTTCTCTTTGAGAACGTCCCATGTGCACTTGAGAATGCCTATTCTGCAGCTTTGGAATGGAATGTCCTGTAAATGTCAATTAAATCCATCTGATCTAGTGTATCATTTAGAGTCACGGTTTCCTTATTGATTTTTTGTCTGGAAGACCTATCCAGTAAAGTCAGTGGGGTGTTAAAGTCCCCTACTATGACTGTATTGCTGTCAGTATCTCTTTTGAAGTCCTTCAGAAGTGTTTTTTCCCCCCAGCTTGTATGAGTCTTTTGTTCTTGAGGTGAGCACTCTTTTATAAAGAGTTAGCTGTTGTAAATTATTGAAAGGGTAATGATGTGATTAGAAGGTGGATTTAGGAAAATTAGTCTAGTTGCCATCTACTGAGTAGATTGAATGGGACAGAGATTAGAAGGTTGTGATCCAGCCAAAAATCTGTAATAACTCAGGCATGAGGTAATAAATTCCTTGATAAGTACAGTGAGACCTATAAGGAAGGGGCAAAAAGAGGGAGACTTCAGTGGGATTAACTACTAAGCTTGTTGACAGGTTGGATGTGGGAGATAAAGTAGAGAGGACTTTTAGGAATGGTCCTGTGGTTTCTTGTTTCAAGTGTCTGGAGTTCAGGGGTTTTGGACTTGAGGTGTACTTGGTATGTTAACATAACTAATGAGAGCTTATAACATTGTAAATACAATGTCATTGCCAGTGGAGACTCTAGTTTTCATAGACACTGCCTGACTATTAGCATCAGGTGCCACTGAATTAGAAGGTAATTAGTTATTGATTTGTTAAATGTGTGAGCTAAAGAGGTTTGAGGCTCTAGGGAGAAGACATATTAGCATGCTCATTAAAATTGTCAGTGTGACACTCATTTGATATGTGCGAATGCCCAATTTGAGAATGTTGCTGGTTTTCTAATAAACTCTTAGTGTACTCAGAGTTTTTTCTATAACACATTTGGCCATTGTCTTTTTCCTGATTACTTTCTCTTTGACATGATAGGCAATACCGTCCACCTTGCTCACATTCAACATTTTTCTGTATGAATTGTGGAATCTCTTGGTATCTCCTTATTCCATTGCATGTGCTTCCATTTGCTTCTGAACAGTGTGTATTCTAGCTTTCACTCATTAACATTTCTGTCATTAAAGTTATTAGTAAACCTCTTTGTTTCTAAATCCAGTAGGCTTTTTTCAGTATTGTTTTGACTACTCTGTAGCACTTGAACACTTGTTGACCACTCCCTCTTTGAAATCTTGTTTTTCCTGACTTCAGGGGCCACACTGCCATGGGTTTCTTCCTCTTTGGCTACTTCACAGGCACCTTTATGGACTTTGCTTTTTCTTATTTTTAAATCAGATATATTAAGGTATAATTTACATATAGTAAAATTCTCCCTTTTAGTGTACAGTCCTATGAGTTTTAACAAACATACAGTCATGTAACCACAACCATAGTGAAGATATGGAGCATTTATTTATTTAATTTTAGACAGATAGGAAGGTGGAGAGAGAGAGAGAGACAAACAGTGATTTGGATTTGTTGTTTTACTTATTTATGCATTCATTGGTTGATTCTTTTTTAAATATATGTTTTTATTGATTTTAGAGAGAGAGGAAGAGAGAAGGAGAGAGAGAAATATTGATATGAGAGAAACATTGATCAGTTGCCTCCAAGTACACAGACTGATCGGGAATGGAACCCACAACCTGGGCCCTGACTGGGAATCATACTGGCGACCTCTCAGTGCAAGGGACGATACTCAACCAACTGAGCCACACTAGCCAGGGCCATTGGTTGATTCTTGTATATGCCCTAATGGGATGGAACCTGCAACCTTGCTGTATCGGGACTATGCTCTAGCCAGCTGAGCTATCCGGCCAGGGCTAGAGCAGTTCTCTCAACCCTAAAAGTTCCCTAAGTCCCTTTGTAGTCAACCTCTTCCACTCCTAGCCCATAACAAGCACTAGTCTATTTTCTGTCCCTATAATATTTGCCTTTTACAGAAAGTCATATAAATGATATCATATAGTTTGTAGGTTTTTGAGTCTGGCTTGTTTCACTTTTATAATGCATTTGAGATTCATCTGTTTATGTAAGTAGTTCATTCATTTTTATTCCTGAGTAGTACTCTACTGTATGTACCACAGTTTATTCATCAGTTGTAGGAAACTTATGCTTTCAGTTTTTAGTGAATATGAATTAAGCTATTGTAAACATTCTTGTAGAGAATTTTGTGTGAACATGTTTTTATTTCCTTTGTGTAAATATATAGGAGGGGTATTGCTGGGTTGTAAGGTTATTTCTTAATAACCTTGTACTAAGCGGCCTGCCACTTTACATTCTTGCCAGTGATGTATGAGAGTTCCAGTTGCTCCACAGCCTCACAAATGCTTTGTATTGTCAGTTCTTTTTAAAAATTATTATTTCTATTTCTGTCTGCTTTATAAATGTGGCTATTCCTTAAGTTCTCCCCCTTCTTTCATTTATATAGTACTTTCCCCCCCTTATCCTGCACTCTCTGCCTCATTATTCTTTTTTATTTACATTTTAATTTTTAGCCATTTATTTAAATATTTGTTGACCTTCTATTTTGTGCTTGGCACTGTTTAGGCACTGAGAATACAGCAGGGAACAAAGGAGAAAAATCCTTGTCCTCATGGGAGCTTGTATTCTGAAAGCTTCCAAGTCTTATGCTCCTTATCTTTTTCCTCACCTCCACACCCATATAGCCAGCTGTCTACCAGACATATTCTTCTGAGATGTCTCATAAGTACCTCAAGTCAATATATCTAACAGGGAGTTCATTTTTTCCTTCAACCTGCCCCTCTTTTGTATTTATCTTTTTTTAAAAAAATATATCTTTATTGATTTCAGAGAGAGAAAAGGAGAGGGAGAGAGAGATAGAAACATCAGTGATGAGAGAGTCATTGATTGGCTGCCTCCTGCACACCCCCGACTGGGGATTGAACCCGCAACCTGGGCATGTGCCCTGACCGGGAATCGAACTCTGACCGCCTGGATCCTAGGTCAACGCTCAACCGCTGAGCCACGCCCGGCTGGGCTGTATT